CGTTCTCTGGTCGTATTGTCCGCTTTATAGCTGAGGCTTTAGGGCAGACGTCACAGTTGTGCGCTTGAAGGACACCAAAACGGCCGAGGCACGTGACATCATGTCTGGTTCGGGGAACTATCTCTTGGAGATTGCACAAGACCAATTTCGACTGGTGTTAAAAGATTACAAAACCGTCAAACATCACGGACCCACTTCAATAGACATGTCCACACGATGCAACAATGTCATCGCTGAAAGCCTTCAGGTATTCCCAAGAAAATTCCTTTTGTCTCAAATCAAGTCGCCTGACAAGCCCATGAGTCGAAGTTATCTGACAAAGGTTTGCAGCACGGGGCTTTTCAAGGACGCGAGTGTAGGTTCATGTCTCCTTCGCAAGATATGTGTGAGCAACCTCTTCAAAGATGCTCCGAGCATTGCCGAGCGCGACAACCTCGCGCGGAGCATGTTGCACACCGCAGCTATGGCACAGCGGACGTACGAGAAGAAATTCAATCCTGATGGATCTCGCATTCAGTTCTGATTGATCTTAGACCTTCTTGTTCTCTAAGACACCTCGATGCTCGTGAATGCACCCAAAGGAAGGGTGGATGCTTTGATCTCTCTCTCCATGTCCAAAGAGCTAGTCATCTGGGGCACCTCAAATCCGGCATCGATCAGACGTCGCGCTGTGGATTTGTGGAGCTTTTTTGTTCGGCCATTTATGAATCTTTGATATGCCTTTCGTAACAAGATATCGTCATGATGTCTCTGATAGTATGCCCTCATAATTGCGTTGTGCTTTTCTGGGTGAATCTTGGCATGTTCTCTGTGTTTTTGACACGCTCGACACGGACATGGGACGTGCAATTGTGTCTTATCAGAGGCATCAAAGAAGCTTTTATTCATGTGGTGGACCATTTTGAGCCCTGTTGATGTGTGAGATTATATTTGCAATGCTCCAACCGCAGCCCGATTTAGGTGCGTTCCTCTGACGTGCTTTTATTTCCTTGTGTGACACAAGGACCTTGGCATGTCTGCATCTGTGAGTGGCGCTCAACAAGCTGGCGGCTCTCAGGCCTCGGCCCAAGGACCTCTCAAAGCCCTGGGACCCCATGTTGATGAGAGACTCGTGCTCGTCACCCAAGATGGCCGACTTCATGTGCCTGCAGAGGATGCTCCATTCCAGTCTCGTAACAAGCAAAAGTATCGGTTGGTGGATGCGATGCGAGCTCTGTACAAGCAGGGCATGTACACGGTCCCTCTACGGCTTCGAATGTCAAAGGGTAAAAAGGAAGCGAGCTTCAGCGGTGGTGCATATACACCCTTGATGGAGTCGTTGGATGGTTGGAAAGATAAAATCAATGAATATATCGATCAAGCTTCAACAAACGTCAACGCCTTAGCTGTGTTGTGTGGCATATCAGATATATATGTGGTTGATGTTGACTCGACGGGATCTCCTTCCAAAGGAAAGAACCAGGCTGGCAAGGAGGCCGGAACACAGCTCTGGGAGCGCTTGGTTGAGCAACATGGTGATATTGAAACGATGAAAGCTCGGACCGGATCAGGGGCCGGTTTGCACCTATTCTTTGGAGCAAGCAAAACCGTTGGCCTGTTGAGAAATGCCAACTTTTCAACGGTTGCATACAACGAGAAGAAATGGGCCATCGATGGACGTGGAGAAGACGGTATTGTCTTCGTTTCTCCCTCGACTTACTACTATGATGAAAAAGGCACCAAGTATGGGTACCGTTGGCTCAATTGCGATAAATCAGCACCTCGCATTGGGATGCCAAACTGGCTGACGGAGTTTTTGAACGAGTGCGCATTTAAAGAAGAGCCTCGGACCACATCACATCCCGAAAATACCCCACCTGTGCCTAGCATTGCAGCAAGTGCGCCTTCTACCACTGCAGGGGTCTAAATTCCGAGTCCGGATTGCCTGGATTGAACGCCGCGCTCAACAAAATCACAGAGCTACTCCAAGCCAAAGTGCCAGGGGACCAAAGTCGATTTAGGGGAGTCGGGAAAAGACTCTCAACGGGTTGGCAAATTCTCAAGTTCAAGACCGTCGGCACTAGAACGTGCTTGAATGGCTGCGAACATGACTCCAATCAATTCAGCATCCTGAGCAACGGGGCCGTTTTAGTGTACCGATGTCTGAGCCCTGGATGCGATACACGGCCAAAGCCATTGTTGGGCATACACTTTTGGCCCGAGTGCCTGCCGCTGAGAGTGGAAGGGGAGCTCTTCAGGATTTGCGAAAGCTACGTGCTCCCATTTGATTCGCCCATAACTGAAAGCGAAGAGAAAAAGAGGAAAACGGGAGATGACGAACGAACAAAAGGAGCTAAAGTGGACTTGCACAATCTCGTCATACTCATCATGAACCATTACTTTGCCGTCGTCCGCTCGACAAAGGCGGTTTACCTAGAGACAATCTACTCGAGAGACGCGAATGGGCAGCTTGAGCCTGAGGAGACCATTCACCGGTCCGGCCGCGACTTTTTGGAGGTCTGCAGAAACTTCCATCTCGAGAGCCTACCTGGAAAGAACAAGGAGGTTGCCAAGTTCTGGGAGAGCAACCCTAAGCGTCCAAGGAGTATGATCAGATCGTGTTCGAGCCGGATCCATCAAAGGGATCCCCACGACATTTCAATCTGTTTTCCGGGCTGAGATTTAAACCGCTCGAACACAAGTTGACGGAGGCGGAGTTCGTGGAGTGCGAGGTACAGATGCCAAAGCTGGGCTTATGTGGCACCTTCGCAACATCGTGTGCGATGGCTCGATCGAACGATTCACGTATAACATCTGTTGGATGGCGCACGCCGTGCAGAAGCCTTGGAGGAAGATTGGAGTGGCTCTCGTATTCCGAAGTGGGCAAGGGTGCGGAAAGTCTGTAGTGTGGGACTTCATTGGACGCGAGATTCTGGGTGCCAAGTACTATCTTTATTGCAACAACATCGAAACGGTCATTGGAAAATTCAATTCATTGGGAGCCAACAAGCTCCTCATTACATTTGACGAGGCAGGAAACTGGGGAGGGGCGTTCCGGATGAATGATCGGATGAAGTCGCTAATCACTCAGGAGACGACGTGCTTGGAGCGTAAAGGCCAAGACCCGATCAGCGTGCAGGACAAAAGCAACATTGTTTCACTACAAACAACTACTGGCCAGTGAAACGAGAGGCCGACGACCGGCGATACTCTTGCCAGCAGGTATCAGATGCCAAAATGGACGACAAAGAGTACTTTGATGCACTTGTGGAAGAGTTGGAAAGCCCCATGACCGCATATCACATGTATCGGTATCTCTCATCCATTGACATTTCCGATTGGAATCCTCAAAAGATGCCAATCACAACCTGGGGAGAGGGCCTAAAAGAACACTCTATTCCACCTCAGGTCAATATGATGCAAGCGCTGCTCGAGAACGGATGCTTTCACCCTTGTTTGGAGACGTGGGTAGCATCAACGGATATCAAACGTACATATGACACATTCCTGCATCAGATGGACATCAAAGAGGATCGCCATACCGATGTCAACCTCTTGATGCGCTCTCTCAATGCCGTTTTCAATATGAGGCCGCAGGCACGCTCCATTCAGGGAGTTCGAACCCATAAGGGATGGTGGTTTGCCCCACAGGGCGCTATCTGCAAGGCTCTCCATAAAGGCAAGCTGCTGAGCTCGACCGTGGAGTGGGTTGATACATGGCAACGACTCGACTACGTCGAAGATAAAGAAGGGCCATGGATGACGGAGTCGACAGCCCTGCAGAAGCTGATTGATGCTTCGGGAGGGTCGCGACAATCGGTTGCAGATCAAAAGTGCTCGTTCTGCTCCAACCGTCATGTGTGGGAGGTGAGACGAGGCGAGAACGGAGAAGTGTTGACTCGGCCTAGACCGGATAATGACTTCTCAAAGTGCTTGAGTACCAGATAGCTTATTACCCTCTCATTACCCTTATTACAACAACAAAACACACATGTCAGTACCCATGAATGAAGCCTTAAACTAGACGTTCCATTACCCTATTACCCTATTACCCATTGCTTTTAGAAATATGGAACCTCTTGGAGCCTCCATCACCACACGACAGATGTACAAACAGAACTTGAGGCGGTGGGTAATGAGTAATAGGGTAATAGAGGAGAACTTCAACTGCGGCCTTATGTTGAATCTACCAACGGCTCTAACTATCATGTGTGGGTGTGAAAAAGAGGGATTGGAAGGAGCATGTAGTATCTTGAGAATCAAAAGAACAAATTTCCGAAGTGTGGGAGTACAAAACAGCTTATTACCCTCTCATTACTCTCATTATAGCACACACACACACATGACGGTACCCATGAATGAAGCCTTAGACCACACATCCTATTACTCTATTACCCTATTACCCATTGCTTTTGCAAGTATGGAACCTTGCCAACGCACATGACAGATGTAAAAACATAAAAAGGATTTGAGGCAGCGGGTAACGAGTAATAGAGTAATACAGAACAACCTCAACTTCGCCCCCTCTTGATCGAGTCTCTCAAAGGATTGCTAGCTTTGCTTCAATAGACTGCGTACTTTGACCGCTCAAACAACGTATCAAGGATAGTGGTGACACGGCTCATCAACCTCCTGATGCTCGTGATCTGCTGAAGGCTAGCTGCGCATCTTTTCAACCCAGAATTCACCCCTTCTGAGGCCGTCGTAATCGTCTGGCGGTGTTGCGCAAAGGAGTCGATGAACAGCGTCGACGAGCACGTGTGCGTCGCGTAGCGCTTCGCGCCAGACGGTGCGCAGCTGACGGGCCCCGAGTGGAAGCGATCGACAACAAAGACCATGAACTTGGCTAGCTGCGGCACCCGATTGAGGAACCACTCATGCGCGTTGCAAGCAGCGTCCTCCACGATCGTGAGTCCCCGCAGCGACTTGAACGGGAACCGTGTGAGCAGCACAGTGCCGAGGTCCGACACAGACTCGCCCCCCTTCAGCCAGTGGTACCCGAGAGGTGCCCGATCTTGGCAGCATGCAATAAACATGCCGGCGCGCCCTTTAGAGGATCGAGGGTTTGGGGCGCTGCAGTGCTGGGTGAGCCGCTCCTCCGTCGACCGTCTGCCGCGGCCCTCCCCATCTTCCCAATCAACGAACCGAGGCCGGCCATACAGCAGGGGGTGGAAGGAATAGGTCGAAACAGCGCTGACCCGCTCCGCGTAAGTCGTCGACGGCGCTCGAAGGAAGCCGCCCTCTTCGTAGCACTGGGGCTCCCGAACCTCCAACTCGAAGAGGAAGGAGTTGGCAGCCCCCTTCAATGCTGCTCCCCGTCGCTCGGCATACTCCATAGCCGCCCCTTCTAGCTGACCCGCAAGCCTCAGCTTCTCGCATTCGATTGCCCAGAGGTGCTCGGTTGCATCATGGAGGGCGGCTAGAGGCGATCGCGACAAGGGGCCCGCCGGCCGGTTTGCGCTCGGCTCGAAGCAGAGGAGGTTCGTGGCGTAGATGTCCCGAACGAGCGGCCGCAACGTTGCTCGAAAGGTGTACTGTCCGCAGGCAATTGGATGGAGGCGAAGAACGGCCGCCAGCATGGGGCCGTCATTGGAGAGGTACACCAGCCCTCGCGCGTCGAGAGGGCCCTCGAGGAGCAAGTGCCTCAGCAGCTTCAGGGTGACGATACGCCCAAACACCCAGGAGTAGCGAGGGATGAGCAGCGCGTGCAGAAGGGCCCCGTACGGTTGGAAGTGAGTCGGGCACCAACCGGTCGGCGCCACGGGTCCGTCCTTGAGGAAGCCTTGCATCCAGGGCCGTCTCGGGACCCTCTGGCAGACGGCACACGTGGCGGGGTCCGCACAAGCCCCGGACTCGGTCACGAGGTCGACCAGAGCGGCAACGTTTGCCGGAAGCCCCTCCCGCATGGCAACAAACTCCTCCGGCTTGAGGGGCGCGTTGCTTCCTTGGGCCGAAGCCTTTCGAAAGTTGCACCACCTCTGTGCCAGAGCACGCACGGCCGGCCGCAACTCCGAGAGCCCGTTTCGATACTTCCAAGGGCAGTCGACCCCTGCCAACGGCACATTGGACGGGCGCACTCCGCCAACACTCAGAGGAGTGAAACCCCCAGCGACCCTCGGCGCCTCGGGGTCCGGCTCGCAGATGCTGTGCAAGGACGCCTCGGTGCCCGAATCGCGCATCGTGCTCGAGTTGGCAAAGAAGGTTCCGTCAAAGGTGATGACCTTGTCACGCCCGAAAGCGTATGTTGCTAACTCCGAGGTCAACCCCTCCGTTCGCTCCGGCTTCAGGGGGTCAGTGCCGGTCGCACGCGCCTCCGCCTCGGCCGCCTCCACCTCGCTCGTGTAGAGGTGCGCGCAATCGGAGCGCGAGCACACGTGCTGGATCCTCGAGCGTGCTGCCAGGTCGTTGAAGGCTTGCATGGCGGCGTCAAACACCCGATCGTCCAGCCTAGGGGCGTCGGGCCCTTCAAGACATCTTGAGGCCATGTCGCCCGCCTCGAAGTTGAGGCTGTGGGCTGCCCCCAGGGCTGCGGCAAAGTGGTTGTGGAGCAGAAGGCCGTGGGAGAAGAGATTATTGCCGGAAAAGTTGAAGATGCCGTCCTCCTGTAAGCAAGTAGCAATTGAGAAGGTTAATCAATGTTGCATTTGAGTTGGCCCTCCCTCATTTTAAAGGCTATTGCAAAAGGTGATTATCGGCATGAACGCAAACGCGCAATTTGGGTTGGTGCTAAGCATCATTGGTGAAAATGGAAAGCTCGATCTTGAAGACCTCTCATATGGTGCACGTACGTGCAAGGATGCACACGCTTATGTCGGTTCAAAAGTGCACCACTATCCACAATCAACAAAGATGCCTTTGCAAGGCCCGCATCCTTGCATCAAAGTGTACCCAATGCAAGAATGTACGTTATGTAATCAGACCGATCTGTGCTTTCGATGGCCATTCTCTCCTTATTATGAAGCAGCGATTTGTGAGGATTGTATTGGAAGGCGGTATGATGTATTGGGTTGTTTGACCACAATGGATGCTCGGCGCAAGTACCGGATCCGTGATCTCTCCGGCCTGCCATGGGTGCCGGATCCAAGACCGTCATACCAAGCACGATACTATCTCAAATGGAACGTAATTCTGAGAGCGCTTCAGGAGAATAACGGGCCACAAGGTTTTAAAGAGGCCCGTGAAGCTAGAAGTAGAAGAGCGATGGCCCGATTGAAGAAGACAGAAAATTGCGAATGCAAATGATTTTTGGATGTTGATACCCACCTGACCGTCGTACATTACCGAGCAGCAAGCGGCCTCCCGTCCTGGGGCGATGCGGCACACCCTCCGATAGGTAGTGACCTCGTAGCGCGCCCCCGCCGTCGTGAGTGCCCCCCTCCTGGTCTCCACCTGCCATGGTCGGCCGCACGGCGAGAGCACCTCGGCGGGTCTTGGAGCGCAAAAATGCTTTGCCTTGTCCCGCCGCCGCACGCCCTCCTCGCCCCACCGATCGCAAAGGCTCACGACACACGCACCACCTCGGCTCATGATCGTGTTGACCTTCTTGTGGCTGTGCCCTGTGTCGAGCGCCGCTGCCGGGAGACACTCCCAAGGCTCGAGGGTCTCTCGATGGGTGCACGCCACTTTCGAGTCCGGCCGACGGCAAACGGGGTCGTTGCACACCCAGAGCCTCCTTGCCCCCGCTTCACGCTGCGCAACCCTCTCGGCGCGTCTCTCAGCAAGGACCCGATTTGCCTCGCTCCTACCTCCATCAATTGCGCGCTCGATCAAGGGTAAGGGTTGCTTCGAGAGCACACTCAAGAGGTGCCGGCACCGCTCCGCCGCCGCGCAGTGGACATTGCTGCAGTGCGCTGTCTCTCCTCCAAGCACGCAAACCACGGGCTCCTCTTCAAGATCGCTCACGACAAATATTCGAAGCTGTGGCCCGCCCTTCCACGCCTCTGCATCTACCCCACGGAGGGCGCCCCCCACGCACCCTCCTTGGTCCAACGGCAACACCCAAGGCACGCCGTCAGTGACCTCCCGCGCGAACGGACGGCTGTCG